TTCCCAATGCTGGCTAAAGGCATTTTCCAAACATATCTCCAGCATCTCTTACACTTATCACATTCTGCACTTGGCAGGATGCTTTCATGCACATGATCCAGTTTGAGCCTTAATAACCCTCTGAGGCAACCGAGGCAAGTATGAGGCACCTCATTTTGCAGATGAGAGAACTGAAGCTCAGAGAGGGACCTGGCTTGTGCATGCAGCAAGCGGAGGTAGAACCATGTGTTTGAATTGCTGGTCCTGTGCTTCTTTCCACCACAAAACATCCATTATCTTCAAAGGACTAAAATCAACAAGCTGGTTCAATTGAGGCAGGTCTCCGGCTGCTTTACTTCCTCCCACAAACAGAAATCAATACAGCCAATGTTGGTACCTACTAATGCGAGTGCTGGGAGCCCTCTTCTGAACTCCCTGTGATCCTGCAAATGTCTGTGTCTAAGCGAAGAAATCACGTAATCATTCAAGTGATTCAAGGGGGAAAAAAAGGTTGTATCCAGAAAGAATGTCTATTCCCAGTAACTAAATGCTTAGAACATACACAGCACAATGTTTTTCAGTCTTCTCTTTTGAATGTTTTGCTCATTATGTAACAAAATTTTACTTTGGACATTCAACTAAAATGACAGCATCAGTTGTGACTTGTCCTGGGTTTGGTTGACAGACATGACTGGAATTAGTGAAATGTTTTGGTTTAGACAGAGAATCACCAAATGTTGGAGGTTAAGTGACCTTGCAGATGACCTAATCCAAATTTCCAAAGGGTTTAACCAACATCACGCAGTTAATTGTTTGGAATCTCCACTTCCCTGGCCATATGCACACATAATTCTGTTTGCTAGAGCTGAAATAGTTCACTCCTGCCAGCTCTAGAGGTCAGTTGTTGGAGGTGAAAGGGATTAAAAACCTGAGGCAGGTGGGGCATGGTGATTTATGCCTGTAATCTCACCACTTTGAGAGGCCAAGGTGGGTGGATCAACTTGAGGCCAGGCATTTGAGACCAGCCTGGCCAACATGGTGAAACCCTGTCTCTACTAAAAATACAAAAATTAGCTGGGCATGGTGGCACACACCTGTATTCCCAGCTACTTGGGAGGCTGAGGCACCAGAATCGCTTGTGCCTGGGAGGTGGAGGTTGCAGTGAGCCAAGATCGTGCCACTGCACTCCAGCCTGGGCAAGAGAGCCAGACACTGTCTCAAAAACAAGCAAACAAAAAAACACCTGAGACAGTGAGATTCTAACTTGTGAATGGTTGTGGTAAGCGAAGCAATACCTAAGTGTTCCTGGACCAAACCAAGGGTCAGGCTGCTTATTCTCATGGCCCAATAATGAAATGCAGAGGAATTGAGAAAGGAGGGAGTTTATTTCTGTAACCAGGGAGAAGGCCTGAAAATTATCTCCAGACCAACTCAAAATTACAAAGTTTTCCAGAGCTTATATACATTCTAAGCTATATATCTACATGTAAGTGGGCATTCATCTGAAGACAAAAGTGATTGACTTCTTTTAATCTATAACAAAGGCCTGAGTCCTGAAGACCTTCCTCTGGAGCCTCAGTAAATTTACCTAATCTAAATGGGTCCAGGTGCTGGGGTGGTTACCCTTGTCTCCTGCTAAATCACAGAAGTCTGGGGAGTTTCCTTTAGACCCCCAATAAAACTTCTTTAATCCTAGACAGGTCCTGTTAAGACTTCCTTCATTATCTTGTCATGCTTCAAGGTCCAGGAAAAGCCTGGGCAAAACTCTTGGTGGGCTTTTGTTACACTCCAGCCTTTATATAAGGGCATTGGCTCTTTCAGCTTTTAGTATGTAACTTAACCACTCAGTCAGTGCTCAAACAGTTGTTATGGAGACCTGCGTTAGTGAGACCTGGCCTGCCACATAAGTGCTACAAGAGCTTGCTATAAAGTAAATATTCATGTTTTGAAGTGCATCCTCAAGCTTAAAGCAAAATTTCACATTTATTATATTTATTGTGTTAAAAAAAAAACAACTCTACAATAACACAATAAACTTGCATTTGGCTCATTGCACCAACACATCACCTTGGTATTTATTGAATCATTTGTCTAAAGTGATGTCTTTCTGGGAGAGCTCCAAGCTTCACAAGATGTTTAAAATAAGTCCTTCCTCTAAACTGAGAGCAAATGGGTTTTGACAAATTGAATTTCAACATGAGACAGATAATAATGCACTTCAGTAACTATGGTTCTCTTTAACGTGAATGTGAAACGGCTAAGGGCTTGAATGATTAGTTTTTCCCTTAGTAACTATTTGTCTTCAAGAATGTGCCCTAAGTCCTGTTGCGCATATGCCAAATTTCCAAGTGTTAAAGTGGTCATATTTGTTAAGCTGTGGCCAACTAGACAATAGACTACAGCAGGACTCTACTGTGTTCCGTCATGATTTCTCAAAATTAGCTGCAGAAGTAAAGGGACCTACAGTCTAGCTCTGATTGTGGAATCAAGGACTGAAGGCACCCTCGGACCTTTGACTTTATCCTTTGCCAAAAGGTGGAAGACAATAGAATGGATTCATTTGCATTTCTACTTCTCTCCTCTCTTTAAAGTGATAAACATCAGTAAAATGCATTCAAAATTTACAAATGAACAGATTAGATATGGAAAATCTAGAGTATGGATTGTCAGTACAAGAAGAATGGCAGTAAGCCCAATACTTAAAATGCCCAAAGATATATTAGCAACAGTGTGACCTCCCAAAAAATACCTTGGTTCATTATGATAAGAGCACACAGGAATGGATGGGATCTGACCACTGATTTTTCAGGAATATTTTAGTGGCAGAATATGGTACATGTTACGCTGCCTTTGGCCTCTGAGGGTTGGCATTCAAGGTGAGCATTCCCAACTTGCCTTTAAAACCATCTGAATCTATTAGCCAGGGATTTATCTAAATCTTCTCAAGGGAGTTTCTAACTTTAGCCTTCACAGCCTCTTAGAGGAGTTAAAGAGGACCTTTATTTTTCTGTTGTGATTCACTGATCCATATTTTTAAAGGAAATTCTGAAGTACTCTCAAGTAGAAAGTATTTAACCTAGTTCTAAGAAAAAAAAAAAGTATAAAATACTAATTAAGTTAAAGGTCTGTAAATCTTTATTTACTCTGCAACACATTCTGAAATGCATTATACTATTGTTTCACTTTATAGCAATTTAAGGAGGAAAGATGGAAGTTGGAAGAAGAGGAAGAAGAAAACAATGAAAGATGTAAAGGGGCCAGGCACAGTGGCTCTCAGCACTTTGGGAGGCTGAGGCAGGTGGATCACAAGACCAGCCCGGGCAACAGGGTGAAACCCCGTCTCTACGAAAAATACAAAAAAAAATTAGCCAAGCGTGGTGGTGCATACCTGTAGTCCCAGCTACTCAGGTGGCTGAGGTCAAGGCCAGAGGATCGCTTGAGCCTGGGAGGCAGAGGTTGCAGTGAGCCAGTGAGCCGAGACTGCACCACTGCACTCCAGCCTGGATGACACAGCAAGACCTTTCCCCCTCTCCCCACCCCCCACCCAAAAAAAAAAAACGTAAAGAGGAGAAGGGAGGAAGTGAAAGGAGAATAACCCAGAAGTGGAGAAATTTAGAGAGTAAACTAATTTTTTAACAATCTAATGTGTACTGAGCTGTGTGGCGTTAAAGTATCTAATCACTGCCCTTTGAAATGTTTACTAGATGTTCAATCTCTAAATGAAACAGTCACTGTCAGAATATGTTTCCCAGAGCTACATATGATAACTGAAACCAATGACACCTGCCAAGGTCACTGGCAAAGGTCAGATGAAACCAAGCCAGACCTAAACTAGGTAAGAGAGGTCTCCTTCTCCACCAAAAATTGAGTATGCTAAATACACAATTTAACTAAGCAAAGAAGCACTTCCTTTGCATTACCCTCAAATCTTCATCCTTCTGCTTGCCCCATACATCTAGAACACTGGGGTTTGGTGAGAAAATCCCCACTTGGGCTGTCTATGTCCTGTATGGCTTTACAGATATTCCACATACCTGTCCTGGGCCTTTGTCCTTCCAGACTGCAGTTCTGGGTTATTTCATTTATTTAGTGATGTCTGTGTGCCACGTAATTTTTATCACAGCTGCGAAGTAGCTATAATTGTTGGCTTTATTCAACAGATCTGTACTTTGAGACAGAGAGGTTAAATAACTTGCCCAAGGTCACCCAATAAGTAGTAAAGCCAGGGTCAGAGCTCAGATTGCCTGACTCTAAAACCCAGTCACTAGTCCTCTCCTTACTTCATTCTAAGCTCTTCCTCTTTTCTTCCACGTCTGACATCATGCCACCTGGAATGTCAGCCCTGCAGTGAAATCATCAGGGATGTTCTTCAAACTCTTCTTTATGAAACCTTCCTGCACTCTTTGAAGTTAGTGTGTATATCCTTTTCCACATGATGCTGGCCAGAAGTCCACACATCTGAGGACAAAGGCCATACTGACTTGGTTCTGATGTCAGTGCTTGCCACGTGAATAGTATCCGTTCTTAGAAGAAGCATTGTTGTACTGAGTGCCATGTTCTCTCTCCAGGTGTCGGTCTGAGTTTATTTTTAATTGTAGAATGAAATTCCTAGAGATCATCAATTCTGTCTAGCTTATGTGGCATGTGAGACAATTCCCTTAACAAAGCACAAACCAGGTGGTTAAGAGAGAAAAATTACAGATAACTAAGAGAGGAAAGATAATTACTCCCCGCAAAAACTATTCCAGCCATACGTGGCCCTCATCCAAATGGTGGATGCCTATACACATGTTCCTAAGAACAATGAGCGTGGAGGGAGAATGGAATTTAAATGTACATTAGGCTTCTAAGTGAAGTATTTGTGTTAGTTAGGGAATTTTAAGTTGTAAAATTACCTTCTTATAATCTTCTTGGAAGAACTTGGAGCATTCCATATTAGTAAAAGAATCACCGACCCCTCTGTCTCCTAGCTGCCTAAGCAACTAAGAGGATTTGCTGACTTGAACTTTTCTCTTTTCCAGATCCTGGCCATCGTATCTATCCTGTTCATCGTGCTTTCCACCATTGCTTTGTCTCTCAACACACTGCCGGAGCTGCAGGAAACGGACGAATTTGGACAACTCAATGACAACCGCCAATTAGCACATGTGGAGGCTGTGTGTATTGCGTGGTTTACCATGGAGTACCTTTTGCGATTCTTATCCTCACCAAATAAATGGAAGTTCTTCAAAGGCCCACTGAATGTCATTGATTTGCTGGCCATCTTGCCGTACTATGTCACCATTTTTCTCACGGAGTCCAACAAGAGCGTGCTACAGTTCCAAAACGTGAGGCGCGTGGTCCAGATCTTCCGAATCATGCGCATCCTCAGGATCCTGAAACTCGCCAGGCATTCGACAGGCCTACAGTCTCTGGGTTTCACTCTTAGGCGGAGTTACAATGAACTGGGCTTGTTGATATTGTTTCTGGCCATGGGGATAATGATATTTTCCAGCCTGGTATTTTTTGCTGAGAAGGATGAAGATGCTACCAAGTTCACCAGTATCCCTGCATCATTTTGGTGGGCCACCATCACCATGACCACTGTCGGCTATGGTGACATTTACCCTAAGACATTACTAGGGAAAATCGTGGGAGGCCTGTGCTGTATTGCTGGGGTTCTGGTTATTGCCCTTCCTATCCCAATTATTGTGAACAATTTTTCTGAGTTTTACAAGGAGCAGAAACGCCAAGAGAAAGCAATTAAAAGGAGGGAGGCTCTTGAGCGGGCCAAAAGGAATGGAAGCATCGTTTCTATGAACTTAAAAGATGCCTTCGCGCGAAGTATGGAACTGATAGATGTGGCTGTGGAGAAGGCCGGAGAGTCCGCCAACACGAAGGACTCCGCCGACGACAATCACCTGTCGCCAAGCAGGTGGAAGTGGGCCAGGAAGGCTCTGTCGGAAACAAGCTCCAACAAGTCTTTCGAGAATAAGTACCAGGAGGTTAGCCAAAAAGACTCCCACGAGCAGCTGAACAACACGTCTTCCTCCAGCCCACAGCATCTGAGTGCCCAGAAACTGGAGATGCTGTACAATGAAATCACCAAGACACAGCCTCATTCTCACCCAAACACAGACTGCCAAGAAAAGCCTGAGAGGCCATCTGCATATGAAGAAGAGATTGAAATGGAAGAAGTGGTGTGTCCACAGGAGCAGCTGGCCGTGGCACAGACCGAGGTCATTGTGGACATGAAGAGCACCTCCAGCATCGACAGCTTCACCAGCTGTGCCACTGACTTCACAGAGACAGAGAGATCGCCCCTGCCGCCGCCCTCCGCCTCTCACTTGCAGATGAAGTTCCCAACAGACCTCCCAGGGACAGAAGAGCACCAAAGAGCTAGGGGCCCCCCGTTTCTAACTCTATCCAGAGAGAAAGGGCCTGCTGCCAGGGATGGCATGCTGGAGTATGCCCCAGTCGATATAACTGTGAACCTCGATGCCAGTGGCTCCCAATGTGGGCTACATAGTCCTTTGCAGTCTGACAATGCCACCGACAGTCCTAAGAGCTCTCTAAAAGGCAGCAAGCCACTAAAGTCCAGATCCCTCAAAGTGAACTTTAAGGAAAATAGAGGCAGTGCACCACAGACCCCACCCAGCACAGCCAGGCCACTGCCAGTCACAGCAGCTGACTTTTCGTTCACCACCCCGCAGCACATCAGTACCATCCTCTTAGAAGAAACCCCCTCCCAGGGAGACAGACCCTTGCTGGGTGCTGAGGTTTCAGCACCTTGTCAGGGACCTTCCAAAGGGCTGTCTCCCAGGTTTCCCAAGCAGAAACTGTTCCCTTTCTCTTCAAGAGAGAGGAGGAGCTTCACTGAAATAGATACTGGTGAAGACGAAGACTTCTTAGAGCTCCCAGGGGCAAGGGAGGAGAAGCAGGGGGACTCCAGCCCAAATTGCTTTGCAGATAAGCCTAGTGATGGGAGAGACCCTTTAAGAGAAGAGGGCAGTGTGGACTCTTCCTCCCCGCAGGACACAGGTCACAACTGTAGGCAAGACATTTACCATGCTGTGAGTGAAGTCAAAAAGGACAGTCAAGAAGGGTGCAAGATGGAAAACCACTTGTTTGCCCCAGAAATTCATTCCAACCCAGGAGACACAGGTTATTGTCCCACACGTGAAACCAGCATGTGACTAGTTACAAAAGCAATAAATTAAAAAAAAAAAACAAAAAAAAAACTTGTTTCTTAAAAATGAGGTTAATAATGCCTGTGAACTAAAAAAATGGGAAGCCCTCCCCAAAAAAAGTGCATAAAATGTTATTTTTGCATGGCATGAACAGTTTAGCTTAAATACTGTTTAAATAAAGAGTCAAGACTGAATTTTGTAACAAACCAACAAAAATGACTGAAGAACAGTGAACAAATAAAAAGAGCTCTATTAGGAACCAGTATTCTGCAATGTCTGACATTTTTGATCCTTTCATTTCAAATTGTAGGCCGATTTTCAAGTCTTAACATTTATGTTACAATGAAGCTTAGAATTTTCATGTGAAAGGATGAAATGTCATTGCATGCATTCATAATTGTGAGGAATAAGGTACTGTGAGCTTGCAAAATGCATAACTTTGTAAATAATGGGGCCTGGATGCAAAAGTGTCATGAACACATGGAAACAAGTTTCTGAGACACAGGTATTTCCTTCACAGCTACTGCCTGGAGGAGCTGTACAGACTTCCTGTTGCAAAATTGCAACCTCTCCTTAAACCATCTCGCATATCTTGCTTTGACTTATAAAGCTCTTATAAGTACATTTGTTTAAAGGAATACAGTATTTTTTATTTATTTGTGATATAATTCATAGGCTGCATTTTACTTTTTTGCTTCTGCTTAGTTGTGGCATTTGTGGTTCATTTATAAATCATAGACATGGGCAAGATTTAATGACCAGATATCAAAATATTTGAAATTTTGCCAATAAGTTATATATCATGCCACACCCGATTACAGGAATGCATTTTTTAAAAACCTGAAATTATTTAAAAGGTTATATCATACAATTAAATGTTTTTAATGGCAGTCTACATTTGGAAATTAGTTCTTTTAAGAAATGCATTTTGGCCACCTAAAGATGACTGTATTTTCCACTTGTATCCAATATAACATAACCTTTTCTAACTAAAGTTCTAAAAATAGAATACAGATATGCCAAAATGGAAATTCCAAAAAGTGACCTGACAAACTAAAAGCAGAGTCATTTAAGTGAGATTGCCACCGCCACTCATAGAGTTGGCTGGGAAATGAGTTGCTACGAAAAGAACCCAGGCGTGGTAACGGGTCACCCTATACTTCTCAACATGGGATGTGAGGTGGGGGGGACACCGCAATGTGTGGGAGGAAGTTGTTCCTTTTGCTGGATATGAATTACAGAACCCAGAGCACAGATGGCAGTCACACCCTCCTATAATTACAGCAACTGGAAACACCCCCTTGCATTTCCAACCTTTTCAGGGGGTGATTGGGACTCTCTTTGTTCAAAATGACTTTCAGAGATTTTTACTGGGAACGGTGAAATCCAGAGCAGTGAAGGCACTGACCAGAGATTGCCTGTTGGTGAAGTCTGTGCTAGAACCCAGCTCATCTTAATTCACGTTGCTTCACAGGAATCGAGGCTCTGGTCGAAATTTGCAACCACCAGATGTGTGATTCTAGGCAAGCCTGTACAACCTCTCTTGGTCTCAGTTTTGCCCCAGTAAAAATCAAGACAAAATTGTTTCCAAGGTCCCATAAGACTTTAATATGATTCCTTGGTCTCCCAGGAAGGTCCAGATTTTGCCTCAGCACTTTGTACCCATCTGTGTGTGTGTGCGCGCGTGTGTACAATTCAGGGAAATAGGAAGATGCTGGGCCAAATTTCAAGCACAATATATTGTTTAAAGAAAAAACTCTAAATTTTATTTTATTTTTAAAAGGAAAAAATAGCCCAAATATTTAGACTCTTATTTAAGACTTTAAAGAAAAACATTTCTTCATTAACAGAATCTGGTCATTATATCTCAGATAAGAAAACAAGTTTTGATCTTAGTTGAAACACAAGCAGACCTACTGCTAAAAATAATTTTAAACATTTCTTTTTTCACCGTGCTTAGAATTTCTTAGTGATTTTCATCTTAGTGATTTTAGTGTATCATGTTTCAAAACATAACCTTTAAGAGTTTATGGTCATTAATCGTTGATATTTACATTACTCATGCTTATTTCAGTGTCTAAAGCTAAATATTGATCAGTTTTGTAAATAGAGTGTTTGAATTTTCTATCTATAGTTTTTCAAGGTCAAACAGGTATATCTGCTGTTGGATGAATAGCAAATAATTTATGAAAATCATTTTATTTACATAGCCTCATAAAGCAATTATTTTCAAACGTCTCTTATTGATGAATCTCAACTCTTTTTATTCATCTTTCTGTATAAGTGGACTTGTCTTAATGCGCTAAGAGTTGACTGATGCCCACCTTTCCTATGTCTGTTAGGCCCTCTGCTGAGAACACTGCTCCAGAATGTTTAATATTAGAAAGCTTGCCTAGTCAAAGAATCCTAGACATTCCTCCCTAGAAGCATCCTCCCCAAAATCTTTTTTCTCTTCATTCTAAGGTACTTTTTTAAGTTTTAGAGAATTTTCTAGTACAACCCATGGAAAGCTTATCCTTCCATTTTTCTTAGTTCCTCTGAGCCAAAAGTCTTCAGCTAGGGAAAAAAGAAAATGCTCCTCTAAAAAACATCTTTGACTTCAGTGTTTCACAAGGAGGCAGTGTGGGGACTGAAGGCTCCCAGGATGCACTTGTGTAGCACTTCCTAAGTCTTTTCCACGAACTGCACGTAACGCAGAGAATAAACATGTGTGCCTGGAATGGTCTGGGAATGTCCCAAGCACAGAGTTCTTTTGAAGTCTTATGTTTTACACTAAAAATTCATGTAAATGCTGCATTTTACTTTATAATTTTATATATTCCATGTGTTTAAATATTTTTAAAATAATGTTTTATATTATTTACCAACTAGTAAAATGGATACTTGTATAACTTTAAATACATCTTTTGTATCCCCTGGAAAAATATATCCCCAGTTTGAGATGTACTGCATGAATGGCAGGAACAGAGACTGGTTCCCTGAGGGCCACTGGAGGTTTCTGCTGCTGAGAGCGCTCACCCCTTGTTACAAGTGAGAATTATCTGAATGACTACAAAATAACTCAGTTCCACATATGACTAATTTGATCTAATTTGATTCTTCTGACTCTCTTAACAACCAGCACAAATTGCCACAATATTGTTTGAGGTCAAAGATTGAGTCCAATCCTACGAGGATAGAAATGGGTGCATCAACGTGTGTCCTGAGTCAGACCACACACACAAGGATGATATGCTAAGTGGGTGCCTGGAATTGACTTGATTCATCTCTAAACATTTTTACTAGAAATTTCTCTACTGTGACACAACCAGCTGCTTTGAAGCAAGCATTTGATCAAGTATTATCCTGATATAACTAGATTTGGTAACAAGGAGAATATGTGCCAAGTGTCTTCCCATTAATTTCTTCTCAAAACAGTCTCACTCTCCTATAGACACTGGCCTAGGAGAGTCAACAATTCAACTATTTTCTCTTGAAATTTGAATAGAAAAAAAAAAGCCATATGTATACAGAGTACTTATAGTTTCTTATCCCACAACAGCCTTTTGAATATTCAGTAAAGGACCAGCGGGGTTATACATTTTGCTCAATTTCACACCCGTCCCTGGTGAATAGAACTTGGCCTCATCCACGTCATCTGGCTTCAAGTCTGGCATTCCAATATACTACAGGAAAGTATGTTTAGTTAGGCTTGATTTTTTTTTTTCTAATAATATCAAAAATATGTAAATAAAACTGGAGGTGTATTTATAGTCACACAGTTTCTTTAAAGCTACAGTAGATGATGCCAAATGGTAAAAACATGAGAGAACTGGCATTGACCATCTTTTGCATATATGTTTCCCAATTTGGAATTTTGACCGTAAGATATACATTCCTTGGTTAAATAATTCATTGTTCATGATATCACATGACATACTCATTAAGCAGAGGGTGGCAGAAGACACTTAATCTGAAACAAAAGCAAATAGAACTTTAGAAATACTTCTAAGTTCAAAAATATTGTCTAATTAAATTTGATAATCATTTCACTGTTCATTCATTCAAATACTAGTTGAGCATCCCGGTATGGTGCTAGGGTACAACCCCTGGCTTCATGGAGCTTACTGCCTGGCCCACTTAAAACCAAGCTGAGGATTTGGGTTACTGAAAAATGTCTTTTCTGAGGATAGAAAAACCATTCAATTATCAAGCCAGGGAAGCACACAACAGAAACAAATGAAATGATTTTCCAAAGAACTGTTTTCCTAAAAAGTAGATGGATGGCATAGTCTAATCTGTAATTATTTTAGAATCACAGTTTAGATTTCACACTTGAAATAACAAATTGTTCGTCTGACTGAGGTTATGTGTTGTCATTCCTTATTATCTGATACAATGAAAAATAAATTTTTATTAGATATATTGCTTGTCAAAATAGCTAATTATAGTCTGTAACAAATCACTAGAGCAAAATTTAATACTAGTGGAAAAGTCTGTTTAAAAGTTTATGTTTTAATAGTGTGTTTGATGGTTATATTATTAAAAGCAAAGCATTTTAATGCTTTTTCTTCCTATTAACTATTGGCAACATTTTAGGGATCTATCATTAATCATTGCTTAGTCCTCTAAATTCCTAAATGAAAGATTTTTAAAATTCAATATTTAAAAACTACTTAGTTTGACTCAAGGTATTTATTCTCTAGATCCATATGGATTCTGCCACTGCACTGCCCTCCCCCAAAACAGAACAAAAAAGAAGAAGAAGAAAAGAGAGAAAGTAAAAGAAAGCCCATCCCTACTAAGAAAGAGGAAAGGTCCCAACTCCAAAATCTTGGTGAACACCTCATATTATTCAGTTTAGTATTTATTGTGACGTAGTGACATAAATGCTATCCTTTAGTGGTTTCAATGACCATTTCTTCCACTTGCCTTTTTAAGACAGCCTAACTTAATTGTCTAAATCCTTATTTACCATAATCTCTTCCTTGTTAAGTCTAAAAGGATTTTAACCTGTAAATACACATATAAATAAAGGGAAGTGGGGGATTGTCTTTAATAATAAGGTCACCCAAGGCCAGCCAAAGATATAAGTACAGAAAAAAAGAAGAAAGACTAAGAAAAATGTAAGGAAATTTAAATATGTTTTTAAGCAGAGAAATTTATATTAGGTATAGGCATGCACTTGCATAAAATTTAGACTAAATACTTATTATTTATAGGAAATTTAGAATTCAGGCCATAATTCCAATTCTACTTTCTCTCCTGAAGAAATTATTTCTTGTCATCTGACAGATATTTCCAGATTGCTGTTGATAAAATGTTTTATTCAACAATTATGTATTGAGGGTCTCCTATGTGCCCAAAATTAACTTAGGTACAGTACATTCCCTCAAGTTTACAGTCTAGCAGAGGTTTCATATTTAAGAGGTTATATTCCCAAGTAAAATCCAATTCCAGTGGATTATAGTGAGCTAATAATAGTATGACAGTAGATTTGAGTTTGTTGTTGGAGAATGTCTATAACTCCCTTTTATTTTCCTTCAGACTCAAGTTATTTTTTTCCATTCTCTAATCTAGAATCTGAATTTCCACCACATAGGGTTTCTAAACACCCATGCTTAAAATTGCAGTAGCTGTCTGAAATCTAGTGACAATGTATTTGAATGAAGACATTTCCCACTTCAGCAGAATAGGATTCTAGCCAAAAATGACTTTGAAAATGATCATTTTTATACTCCCATAACTGTTCTGTTTGATTTTTTTAAATCCTAGGCTGTATGCTGAGCTAGATGCCACCCCAAGCTGCTGATTTTATGAAAGCCGAACGCCCATCTGAGCAATGTTTATCTTCCCTCCACGGTGGGCAATGCTGGCCAACAATATGGCTACATAGTTTTTCCTTTAACTATTTTTGCTCCATTTCAACCTAAAACAGACTTAGGATGGTATACCAAACACTTAAAATAGACTTCCAAAATCAAAACGCAGGGAAACTGACACGGAATAGTGAGGACAGAACAGAGTGGAAAGATACAGGTTCAGAGAGGATGTCAGGGGCGCTCCGCCATCCGGCTTGTTATTCCCTGTGTCGAGTGCCCTCTACTGGTCAGTCTGAGAGAAGGTGGAATTGTACAGGCCAAGAAAGGATGCCTTAACCAGGACTTGAAAACCACCTTCAGTCCCCTGCATATAGCCAAAACCTCAGTTCCAACCGAGGCATTGTTTTTTCAGTGATTACATCTCAGGTTTTCTTTTTCTTTTTCCAAAATATTTGATAAAACTCTTGCTACCCTTTGCACAGCACTTTCAGAGTATTCCTACCTCCAAAATCAAAACAGAATCACAAGTGTAGCTGAATGTTTAGCAGTGACGTAGTCTACACTTGGGATACACAGTAAATGCTCTTTTGACCTTTCTGCCATTAGGGGGAAGCAAGATAAGAACTCAAAATGGTGGGTTTAAAAAAAAAATTCATGGGTCTGTAATGATAAGGCTATTTGGGTTAACTCACTCCAAAACCCAGTTTCCATTCTACTTGAAGATTACAAGTAGAGCCTGAAATACCCCTGAATTGACTCTTGAAAGAAAAGGTGGTTTTAAACTCCCCATAGACATCTGTGTGCGCTGACCAGAAATTCTACTACAGCCAGATTTCTGGCCCATCTTTAAAGCAAGATGTTTCTAACATTCTTATTTGTGTATGGGTTAGGCTATGTTTTCAACCTGTAAATTATACTCACATCATAATGTTTAATGACAGGAAGATTTTTGTAAGGAACACACATACGCAGAAAGAAACATGTATTGCTATTACCCAAATTACGTATCCAACAAAATGTTATCACTAGAATTAATTAATAAAAATGTACATATTCTATGAAAATCTCACTAAAGAATTGGCAAAATTTTTCCTATTAATATTTAGCTCAAAACCAAAGAGAAGAGAAAAAGAAAAACCTGTAACTTACAAAACACTTACAAAAACTAATGTGTGACACTATCTTGTCACACAATAGCCAAGTTTCAAACTTATGCAATTTTAAAGAGGTATGATATTAAACCATAAAAAATTCAGTGAATGCATAAAGAAGGTTTATTAAGCAAATATGAGGTACCATTAAACACACTGAAGCATTTTTAATAACCTTTAATTTAACTATATAGTGGCTATGTTTGCTTGCTTTTAGCACCTTGATTTCAATCTGAAGTCTTTCTCTCTGATATTGTTACTTGTGTGTTTGCTTACTTGATTTGTTTTGTTTGGAGAAGTGAGGGTAGGTAGGAGAAAGTATTTTAAAAAGAATATTATTGGGCAACTTATTAACATTACCTAGTGTACCTGGAGTACAATAGAAACCATTTGTAGACATGCCTCGGCCATCACACTCTCTTCCCCCTTTTTGTCAAGTTTTACCATTCTGGTTTGGAGACAGATCTTGTGATCAAATTTCAGATCCTGCTAATTAAGATTTTTCATTCCTCTCCTGTCTGCAGGACCCTCAGCAATCCTTCCCTAGGATTTCCCTGAGCAGAGTATATCAGGTATCAAGTCAAAAGGAAGACCAAATGAGCCATTAGCAATCACAACTTGAAGCCCAAAGACAAGAGCAACAGGAGGATGTCCCAGCAGTCAGAAAACATAGCGAGGCCTAAGGACAAAGGAACTGTCTCTATGCAGTATAATAATGTGATCTGACCAACAAAACAAAGACATAGTGTTTTCCCCCATGATGAACAAAAAAAAATATGTACAGTATGTTTTAAACCTCTATTAAGTTCTTTAACTTCAAAGGTAAATAGCTGACTGGTGAGAAAGGTGGTCCCTAATTCACTAGTTTATCACAAGGATTTAGGCATCATCCTAAATGCAAACTCTCCATTTAATTTGTGTGTGTAACAGGTTGTTCATGTGCCTGTTTTCAGGGCAGTATACAAAAACGAAAATACCACTATTACCCTTTTTATCATTTTATTTTATTTTATTTTATTTTTGAGATGTTGCCCAGGCTGGAGTGCAGTGGCACAATCTCAGCTCACTACAACCTCCACCTCCCAGGTTCAAGCGATTCTCCTGCCTCAGCCTCCTGAGTAGCTGGGACTACAGGCACGTGCCACCACACCTAGCTGATTTTTTGTATTTTTAGTAGAGACAGGGTTTCACCATGTTAGCCAGGATGGTCTCTGTGTCCTGACCTTGTGATCCGCCCGCCTCAGCCTCCCAACTTTTATCATTTTCAATGGTAATAAACACTTCAATCAGGGAAAACTGATGTTGCTCTGGTAGTTTTTATATGGTTTTAGGCCAAAACTGCAACGGCAATTTAAGCAAAACCTTAGCAAAAGATTCTAGGCATAGAGAGAAAGCCATATTGACAATATGTACTTTGCTATACATCCAATTATAAATAATTTGCATTTGAATTCTTTTTTTATATATTCTTTCATGTAAAAATCTTTTTAAGTGATCATTTGAAATTAATATTTTTTATTTTCTTATAAATACAGGTTTTTTAAAAAAATAGCGTAAACAAGATGATATACAGTAAAGCACCTAGCACAATGCCTGACAAATAGGAGGTATAGATTTTCTTTTCTAAAAGTATTCCAAAAGAAAGTATTCAATCCACATTAGTATGCTCATGACTTAATCTTCTAAAATTCTTCTGTGGCTTCCTAAACAGTCAAAATTTTACGCGTGTATGTGAGTATAACTCACTGTTACATAAAGAGGGCATTTTATTTGCTAAATTATACATATTACACATATTACACATATGTATAATTACATATATTATACATGTTATATATTATATTATATAAATTATGCATATACACCCCATGTGGCTTTAAAAATACATTGACATTATTTGGACAAACAGCATTCTATTAAAACTAGGTAGTGCATTTCTTTTACATAATTGCCTTAACTTTTTAATGTTTAATACACAAATACAAATTTCTTCTTAAGGAAGAAATTCCTTGTCCACTTCTACAATTATTTTTTAATTTTTTTTAATAGAGATGGGATCTTGCTATGTTGCCCAGGCTGGTCTCGAACTCTTGGCCTCAAGCAATCCTCCTGCCTCAGCCTACCAAAGTGCTGGGATTACAGGTGTGAGCCACCACACCCAGCCCTTAAAATTATTAGGACTTCAAATGTACTATCTATTTGAGGAGTCTTTTACAGCCTCCTTGTTACCACACATTTGAATATATTTAGTCGTTATGTGAATATTCAACAAACTGGTCCATCTTTCTGATTTAAATGTTTGTACGCCTAAGGATGTATTTCATAAAATAGTTCATAACCAGTTTGGTTCTAGATTTACTATAATTGGCTATCTGCTGGAATAAACTATAAAATGAGAATAAAAGCTTTCAGTGTCAATTTTTTTTCTTCATTAAATTTTGTTTTGATTATCTAAATTGTCATCTGTATAGATTTCATCAGAGATGATTTTTTTACTTTTTAAATGTCAATCTCATTGATCAAGAAAGGTAACACAGAGAGAGGCTCATTTTCTATTCTGATTTGTTTAAAATGCCAGGTCATATACATTTACATAAGGCCCTTATTTTCCACAGGAGCAGTGGAGCTGGGTGATGGCCAAGGACTACATATAATGCAGCAAGCCTGCTGTACAGTCCTTACACTGTCTAAATGCATCTACTCAACCAAAGCAGACAGGCACTATGGAATGACGAGGGCGCAGCCAACACTAATACTAAAGACAGGCTAACTTGGAAATTCTTGCATTGAAACTGCAAATAAATTTCCAGATACACTAAAAATTCACTTTTAGAGTATCTGCTAGCCATCATCAGTAAAAGGAAAATAATACCTTGATTTTAATGAGGTTTTATTGTTTGGTTGGTTTTTGGGTGGTTATTTGGGGTATTTCATTTGTTTGGTTGGTTTGTTGAGGGTTTTTTTGCTTGTTTATTTTATGAAAACTTTAGCATAACACACTACTTAGTTTGGACTTGAAATCAACTTATGATGCTTTAAAAAATCCATGTTCTAAATCATAATTGCATGACAGTTTAGATCTTATTACTATTTAGTTGTAGCCTAACAAATACTGTATTCCTCTGTTTTCTCAAAAAAAAGTTCCTGTTTATGAAATAGTATTCAGATAAAGCCTTATGCTGCCCACCAGCCCACTAAATGCATTAAATACCTGTCTCTATGTAGCTTATGTAAAAACTCAATGTGGACTGTCCCATGTCTGCTGCATTTAAAAGCTCATCGTGATTCTATCATCTTGCTATGCCAATGCCTTATGTTATGGTGTCATGTATATAGGCCATGGTACAAAAGTGACTGTCAACTGCTTACTCAACATCTAGTCAGAAAAGGTCTGAGGCAGTGCAATAACGCTTTTAGTCAAACTGGCTCACTGTTGGAATCATTTACATCTGTGTGTTCTTTACCATAAATACTGAAATAGTATTTTTTAACTGTCTTTTCAGGCTTGTAATAAATATCTCTGTGTCATATCTACATAGTCAAAATACATCGAGTAATTCAGTTTAAAAGTGTTGCCTACTAACAAACTAAAGAGAAATATCTACTGATTTTCCCATGTAATTGCTTATTTTACATTGCCAATGTAGACCTGCCTCAAGTGGTGTCTTTCACCACTATCATGTGTAAAATAAAGGGAGGCTATTGTGGTGAATTTTTACCTGTCTGAAATTAGCTCTTTCACTAGTCAAAGGATGTACATACCTCAGAAGTGACGTGTCTACCAAGGTCCAGTATCAAAAGTGTATCTTATTTTAATTTTTGGAGACAAAATTAACATATGTAGACTTTCAAAGGCCAGCATTGGTGGGGAGGAGAAAGGAAATGATGGAAAGATGGAAGGAAGGAAGGGTGATGAGGAGATGAAGGGAGCGGAAGGGGAAAGAAAAGAAAAGAAAAAAGCTAATAGAGGAAGGTAAATCTCTAAATGTGTTAAATAAGGCTTAAATGAAGTTTATATGGTTTATTCTCTAAAAGTTGATTGGCATGGAGGAGGCCGTATGTGTTTGTGTGTATGCACGTGGGCATGTCTAAAAGTCAGGAGGGGGAGCCTGAATTATCTACTGCTTTTTTGGTTAACTAGTCCTATTTTTAAATCTTTGTCTAACTCCCAAACCTTATTAATCCAACATGTAGTACTGAAATTATAAGATTATTGTTAAACTCAGGACAGCTCTGTGGAGATTCACAAAGTAATTTTATGAAAACTTACGAGAAAGTTGTTCAGTACTGTCACTAATTAACGCGCACAAAAAAAAAAAAACTTATTGGGAATAATTATAGTGATTTCCCTGCAAAACAAATTAATATACAAGTTATTCTTTTTTCTCAAGTTGTAGAGGTTTTGATTGTTTTTATTAAGTCTCTAACATCTCCCAGGTTTAAAAATACCAAAACTATTTTTTAAACTTAAGGAATAGAGTATCAGAAATTAAACATTAAATTAATAGTTCTTAAAGTTACTATATATGAGATAAGTAAAATAATTTCCTGTTTCTAAGTTATACATGGTATTAGATTTCTAGGTACAGTCGCATGAAGCATCATTGACTTTTATTAACTTCAGTGTTTTAGAGGGTTTTCATACTAATCTATGAATGCTCTGAATGCTGCAGGGAAAAAGAAGCACAATCAGTATTTCATTTTTTATGAATTCTCAATTGAGTTATCCTATCCTGTCCACACACATAATAGCATTAGCATTTCATCTTATACCATGTTGAAATACTTTTAATACAAACTCTCAATAGAAGCTTAAGCATAAGTGGTTAAATCTTGTCTAGTCTCATTCACCTGCCTCAACATGCTTTCTTTCATTCTATTTGCATACGAAATGTTCTTATTTCAGTTTTGTAGATGGATATGAGTTAGCATACTCGTGTTTGTTCAGCTGTCCATCCTGCATCGTTACTACAATGCCTTTCTCTGCCATTTAATGGTGTTTGTATCAATGTTCCCATATCTGCTGCATTTTAACTCCATAAAAAGGAAATGTGATTTTGTATTAATAGTTTTGTTGATCAACTCAGTATTTCTGCACCAATCAGCATAACTATATGCATGTAGTAGTCTGTACAATTGTTCAACATCAAAATACTTGTTTACTTTATGTCAAAATGTCTATAAAATTGCTGGCATTGTTCTCCATTTCAGTCTGGTAGAATAAGCGAGATAGAAAATAAATGTGTAAATGAATCATCGTGTCATTTCGCTTCTCTGCATGAAGCCACTTTAACGTGAAGCATGGCACACATGCCTGCCACCCAACAACCCATGGTTTCTTGACACCTCATTACTGATTCTCTAGGCAGGCAGCTTTTGGAGGAAGTGTAGAATAAAATGACCAAATTTGGAAAAATAAATAAAAGTGCAAAGAAAAGAAAGACGGTACTCTCCTTTTCAAATGAATCCCTTTACACAGCCAACAGATGTATCATTTGGTTTATATTTTTAAAAAGTTCAGCACAAACCACTTGTTGAAATTCTGGGGTGAGATCATCAAAAAGCTTAAAGATAGTTTTGAGGTAGTCTTTCTCTGCCATTTCCTGACAGTCCTTGTTGGCTAAATCAAGTCTTAATTCCTAGGGCCAGCTCGATGGGTGTGCGACTTGTGCAGATGCATGGAAGTGCAGACATTTAAAAGGAACCCACACTTAATTTAATGCCCTATTGTCATCATCTTGAAGTTCTTAATAGTTTTAGAATGATGGACCCTGTATTTTTATTTTGCATTAGGCCCCACAAATTATACGGCCAGTCCTGCCTGATCAGTGAGGTAATGATAAGACTTCTCATTGATTCGGTCTCCTCAAGACAAGAGGTTAACAGATAGTGAGGAAAGAGGCTTATTTATTTAACAAAGTCTTTTTTTTTTTTTTTTTTTTTTTGAGACAAGGTTTAGCTCTGTCGCCCAGGCTAGATAGAGTGCCATGGTGCAATCACAGCTCATTCCAGCCTCGACCTCCTGGGCCTAAGCAAT